TGCGAGAAGATAGATACTGTGTAGCGATACCAGTTTTTCCGGATCCCTATTGCTTAGAAGGTAAAAGATCCGAATTATTGCCCCTTGGTCGGTTTTCATTGTAAACTGTGGTGTGCGTCGCTCTTTGGAAACTGGAAACTCTTCAAGTAACTTGTTCAGTTGCATCAGGAATACGGGTAGCTTCTGGTTGACTAGTGAATCCGTATATGTATGCGAAAAGATACTAATGGCTACTGTAATGTGAAAGTGAACCTACTGTGTACATATCACACTATATGGTAGCCTTGCCATTTGCACTGTGTATGCGCTCCATGCTAAAGGAAGTACAGTGCTGATGTCTTTTCACGCTCTTATCATAAGTCTGAATTTCCCCTGTTTTCCACGAGTCAGTTGTTTGAAACAGTGTACTGATTCAAATGTGAGACAAAATCCCACCGCAATATTACTTGTGCAGATGTCCGATATGAACGGCTAAATGTGAGATAATGAACGTAATTCATGCAGGGAGTACCTGTGCGCAGTGGTGTAGGTAGTACGCTAAGCGTTTTCGATCCACGAGCGTGGTAAATTTACTGACTTCAATAAAACTGAGGAATTGTTTGACGGAAAAATAAATGCCCTTCATTTCGCTACTAGATATGCAGATAGCTTCCTGGGAGAGAAAGTAAGGAGTTTCTGATTTCTGTCCAACAGCTGCTATCACTTATGGTATCAGGAAAATGTGCTGTAGCAATAAGACTTAGAATACTATTTTACGTAAATAATAACCAACACAGTTTCAACGCAACTGGTATTAAAAGACGGATGGTAAGTCGAAGATTTACCGATCAACCAAGTGTAACCCAAATAACAATTTAATTACACAGCAGCTTGACCAGTTGATTCACAGTTGGTTACTATCAATACACTAAAAAGGTCTACAAATAACGTCAGTATAATATATATTAATACTCTGATCGTATTGTTCCGGTCTTCTATCAGTGATCAAACGTCTTAGCCACGACAGGTTTTGTTGCCTCCAACGAACCAGAAATTGTCTCAACTCAAACGAGTTCACTGGACGTCCACTCAACGTTCACCATAATTCACAGTTGTTTGAGTATTCATGTAAGTTGCATAAACAGATGTATCTTGAGGAATTCCGACATCCTGTTGCACTAACCTAATGATATCTCATGTGTCCGGTTTGACCTTTCCAATGGTTTAGAATGCTTCCAAACCAATGTTTTGGATTTTTCATTTACCTTTCGGCGGATCTGTCAATATGAGCACACTGATGAATAAAGCAGTAGTAATAACTCACCGCATAAGAAGCATGAGCAACTACGTTAGGGATATCAACATTAGAAAATCTTGAACTGCTAGTATCATTTTACGTGATAGGCAGACTTCATGTGTATGTATGCCGAGAACTATGCGAATAAACTCAGAGAGACCTATTGACTGCTACCTTCGGAATATCATCAGAATGAGCTGGTTTTTGGTGATGGATAAATGAAATTTTCTAAAGACAAGATAGCATTTCAAAGATGGAGTCAAACCATATGTGTGGAGGACCAGTAAACGATCTAGGATTGCTTTAGCATTGAACCTTAGGTAATGACTACAAGGCCTCCAGTCCATTCCATTCTCTTTCGGTACTAAGTCCAAAGATGAATACCACTGGCTGCTGGATGACCTAATTGTTCCGATCTCAAGTACGCTTGACAATTTAAAGTTTCTCCGAAAATAAGCTCCATGGTTTAGTAGAAGTTGGTGGGACAGTTTTCGCCATATAATGCTGGAAGTCAGCAATCACACAGTTCACATTACGGTTTGTCTTAAAGGTGTTCGAAAATAATTGAATGGTCGGTGCGTAAGGACTGGGAGTGGAGTACAGTAGACTGAGGGGGAAGTACACCAGAATGATGAGTCGCAACATAAAAGAGGGAACAGATAAAAGGGTGTCAGCTGCGCTAGTCACCACCACGTATCGGCTGACATATTTCCCGATTCTTTAAGCATCAAAGGTAAACGAAAGTGTGAATATTACGGTTTTGGCTCTAAAGTGCTAATGATACAAGCGCAAACCGGTCCATGCTAGCCCCGTATTAGAACATATTCTTCGTATGCTAGAGATAGATGTACTGCAAGGTGTTCTAGAGAGGGTCGTGCGGTCTTCATACAGACCTGAACTCTTCCGCTTCAACACTTCTAATAAACTATGTAGCAAGCCACACAAAAGGTTCCGTGTCATCTGTGGTCTGTCAAAACTGGGTTTTTTGTTCTTCCAAGTACAACAGCAAGTCAGTAGCTTCCATTATCTGTGGACAGCCAACCTTCTGGCCATCAATAATTGCCCACAAAACTCTAATGTTTTCCTCATTCTGCCAATCGAATAACACCATCTACAACTCCTTATCACTTAAACCGCGATGGGACTTTACGCTAATGAAACATAATTTCTGGTCTCTTAAATTTACGTCCTGGCCTAAATATAGAGGTTTTCTATGTCTGTAGTGTCACACTAATCAACGGGTCTCATTAACCAAAGTCAGTATAGCAGTAAGTCCTACGGGAGTGAGCATCCTGCTAGACTGAATCATATCTGAAAGCTGTGTATGCTTTGTTTGATTAATTAGCATTTTTAAGACTGAAGATGATAGCGACATATGTCAGCATCTTCTAACCTGCACACTTACGGACTGCAGCCTACATGATGCTAGTAGTGAATTGTAGGCAATTACTTTGGTTTGTTGATTGTCTGACTGACAACTCAGTACGAAACTCTGTAAAAAAAATCGCGTCACTTCATTCTGCCACATTCCCACAAAAGCCGAGTAAAGTAAGGGAATAGCTTTGTGGTGAAATTAAGTTGGGTAGTAGTTGGTGTAAAAAAAAACAGTAGTTTCATTGGAAGTTATGATATTCCAAACTTCGATGATTAGGAGTGAACTCTTCTGGCTTGTTGTGACTACTTTAGAGTCATATTAGTAAGTATCATTCAACAACTAGTTCTGGCATTTAGATGATCCTAACGTCAGAAGTGTACACTAGCCTATGTCACTGAGATCAATGGTCACTACATTCATATACTGATGTCATGTTTCCTTCTAACCACTCTAACTGTGTATCAACTTAATTTTAATCCAACCTACACTGTCAATCGAGTAAGGTCATGTCTCGGTGTTTGAGACACACATCCCACCTATTTCAGTAGGTAAAATATCATAAACAGAAAGCTAACCACGGATTCCCATCTTCTCTGATCGCAAACATCTTTGGACAGACCATAAAGTCTTCATTTATAGTTTATGGATGTGGGTGAGTTGGAAGACTGCTGCTTTTGGAGCAAGTTTTTTTGCAACCCTTTATCAGCGCTATAGCCAGCTCAACTCGACGATTAGTTTATGAATACTCTTAACAGCTGATGAAAAACTGTGAAATAAAAATATGAGCTCCTGTGAATAGAATCGATCTCGCCTTGTTCGTATTAATAGTATATTTGAAAGAGAAATGAATAGATAGTTGTTGGCAAGCCTCACCATTCATTTTTTTATGATGTACCCAGAATCATCTGCTGCACATGATGGCGTTCAGTGTTGCTTTATATTCGCAGAGAGTTGTGAGAAACGGCCTTCTGTTTCACCAGCATTTTACTAGATGTGCAGTCGTAAAGTGTTGCAACTGAGGCCTCTATGTAGCAATGAAAAACCAAATATTAATGCTGTCTGTCTAAATAGTAATTCTCAATTAACAGTGTAGCCCACTCTGGTGTGGTTGTGGTGATTTGTACAATTGTTTCTTAAAGAAATACGTCAACAAACTTACTAATCTCCTAAATGAAACTCAAAAGAACTGAACATTTCTCATTAGAAATCATGACATCAAAATAATGGTTTTTCCCAAGAAACTTCATCTATATTTATGACACCATATACATGCTTATCTTGTGTTCGTGTAGCTTAAGTCGACGTAGAGGAGTGTTAGAACACTTTCTTATGATATATTCATTGATTTCAGTGATTGTCTATGAATGTGTATGTTCTTAAGACTATTCAAGCACAAGCTAAAATACTGATATTCGCTCACATATTTGAACTAACCAAACTATTCAAGTGAAAGCTGTTCTTCCTAAAGCCTATTACAGATGGTAATTAATAAATAATCATCATCAACACTACATTGGCCAAAGTGGACATCCCCTTCATCTTCGTATCCAGGAACATAAGCTAGCCGTCAAAAGACATGACATCCACTCCCTCATATCATTACATACAGACAGCCACGGGCATCAATTCGATTGGGACAATGTTCAAATATTAGAGAGAGGAAATAACAAAAATGCTAGAGAATTTTTAGAAGCTTGGCATTCCAGTGAATCTCCAATCAATAGACACATCGAGATTGCCAAAATGTATCAACCGACAAGAAAGGAACCTCACACACAAAGGGTCACAGTTCAAGTCAAAGAAACAATCAGTTCCAATACAAGTAGCTTAGGTGTGAAAACGCACATAAACAATCAATCACGTTCAAGGTCACCGGGAGAGATGATTAATAAACTCGTGGAGAAATCTAAAAGCTCACTTCAAATTGAAGTATGCGCTGAAGATGTCATCTAGTAGGGTGATGAAAACTTCGCAAATTAACTATCCAGCTCAGAGAACACAATCACATCAAAATCATCAATTCCGAATGTACATCTTAAAGAACATAGAAATCATATGAATGGTTCGACGAATCTCAAAAATGTTAGTTAACTTATGCTACTTACATGTACTCCAAGTAAACTGATCTTCGGAACATAATCAACGCTATACTTTGCCAGAAATGTTTTGAAAAAAAAATACTTTTTTTCATTAGCAGTATATTTACAACTCTTTTCAATTAACCAATAATAACTGGATAAAATAGTGTGCTTGTTCAAATACACATATAGGCGTGAAAATAACAAATATCACCAGTCTCTTTATATGTGAAGTAAGCAAGAGAAAGCATTCTTCTCGATTCTTCTCTTCTTATCTAACTCCATTTAAGATAACACCACCTTCAACTTCATTTTCCAAATTATTCCTTTGCAATGATATAAGATTTCGCATGTCTGTTGAATTATTTCCACTATTATGCGAAAGATACTTCCTGCGTTGACCATTATTTACGTTTAATGATTCTGTACACATTCCTGGAGGTACGTTGGACAATGTATGTCCTGCGTTCAAAGTATTAGGAATACTGATATTTGAACATTGTTGTAGGTGGTGTTGATGACACATACTTGAAGTTACTGGTGTATGTTTACCAGTATATGTCGCTGAACTATTTGTGGGATGAGTAGTAGACTGTCCATCTTTGTTTAAAAGCTTAAGAAGCTCTGAAAGAACTGTCTGGAAAGTATTCAAAGCACTAATAAGTGTTAAGCCACCAAATCCATGTGTAATATGACTAAAATGAGTTAATGATCTTTGAGTAGAAGCGTCAAGACAGCTTGTAGATCGATTAGCTGGAAGAGGATTCGTTGCAAGTGGACTTCTATCCTTTGTCAATAAATCAGTGATTTCACCCAACAACTGTCTAGAAAAGTCAGTAAGATAAATCATGTAGGTCAGCTAATAACTTGATAAAGTTTTTTTTGGTATACACTATATAAACAAAAGCAAAGGAAATTATTAGGTTTAAAAGATAAGCATATGATTCAAATGAATCGTTCAGTGACTATATTCTAAATAATATTTAAAAAATAATACTGCATGAGTTGTATGCAAAACGGTTAAATAAATTCTCTACATTAGCATAAAGTATTATTAGTATTTTAAAAGCTCAGATATAAGACGGTAATCTTTCGAATGTTTCCCTCATGTTTAATCGGAAGGAAACTTGGGAAACTGTGTCTTTAAACAATTGTGAAAGTAATTATAGGTGATGTCACAACTTCATACTAGTATCATTTATTAAATAAATTTTCAATGACAGTAATACGAGCTACCATGTACTGTAGTCTTGTGTAGTGTTTTTTATTATTCTATGGTAAATTCTGTAGTAAACCAAAATTATCTAGAGTCAGAAAGCCACAAAATATAGTTTAGTAACAATTCAAGGTGGTGCTCTAATTTACGAATTTAAAAAAATATCTTCAATTAAATCAGTTTCCTATAAAACCAATTCAAAGGCTATTTGACTTACTTTGTAGAGATTACTTGATTCCGTTTCTTCTGTACTTCACTAGAATCACATCCGTTTGAATTACGCAAAAGATATTCAGCGCATACTCGGTGGGGAAATTCATTTTCACACAAATAACTGAAATCACGAGCCATTCGAATAGCTTCGCCTGAAATTTAACAATAAAATTATAGAATGTTTTAAACACATTCTCGGAGTTATTAATTCCTAGATTTTGTGCCAATCTGTTATTTATCATCGACAGTTAAGAATGAATATTTTTAACAGATCATGAACATTACCAATATTCAATGTTCTCATTTGTACTGATAACATTGATAGGCCATCAGTCATAAATTTTTCCTTGTCTAAAAACTTGAAATGTTTCGGGACATCATTAAGTAATATTGATGAGAGGGAGAAGTGTGTTATTAGCCTTTACAAGGAAACTATTAACGCTGGTGTTGTAGCCAGGTACAGATCGCTAAATTTAGATGAAAGAGTCTTCGAATTCAAAACTACTTAATATAAACTAAGTCTATGAGTTAGTGAGAACCAACATATATATATATATATATATATATATAAGTAGAAAGACTTAAAAATAAGAGCTCTTCATGGCATTTTGTTAAAACTCCTAACTTTTTCTCACTTAACTCCGCAAACATGCGGTTTCTCAGATCACGGCTTCTAGCACTAAATATTTTCAGGTAATATAGTTATATTAAAAGTTTTAAAGAATAGTTGATTTTCAAGATTCCTGATTAGCCCAAAACAATATCGCAAGTATTTTTATATTAAATAAGCCACACGCTTTAATCGCATAGTTTCTACAGTATATCATACATACATTTTTTTTCACTGAGATTACCCTTATTAGTATAGAATAAATGTAACGAACTGGAACATTTGCTTACAAACTAATAATAAAACTGATGATCATACTACTCATAATTAATAATAATGATAACAACAACAACCATAGTCACGCAACAAAGTTAATATTTTTATTTGAAGCAAAAATTGAAGTCATGAAATCAGGCTGAAAATACCAGTTATTTCATAATGTTCTTTGTTTCTATTTGTATTTTTGTATTTTACAAAAGAAAAAGTCAGATCCGGTTAGTAACAGCTACTTTCTTCGAATTCTCAAACAGTCTATCTTATCACATATCTCAGGGTATATGAAAGTGTGCTGACGAGACATCATAGATAGGCATGCGTGTATGGTTGTAACTGTGATGAACTGATTTACTACATATGAGGAAAGATTCATGAATGCCATAACAACCAGATTGAGAATAATTACCGTCTAAACACTACTCTGATTATTATCACTAAGATGGGAGGGATATTATTAGTATGCGTCTTTTTATTTTAGTATCACGTTACACTAAATAGTTAGCTGGTAATTAAAACAGAAAACAAATAAATTAGGAAGTCGAAAAACAAAATGAAACTGAATTATATGAACAAATGAAGTTTGTTTAAAGAGATTTTGTAATCAAACTTGAAAAGGTTCAAATTATTAATGCAGACGCGACGACATTGAACTGTAAGTTAGGAAAGATTTCACCATATGATAAAAGCAAAACATCTGAGTGAACTAGTTGCTCAAAGTTAACCAATATTTTTAAGAGATCTCGTGGAAGCTAAACTTCTTTGAAATAGGATCCTTATTCATTATTCGTGGACTAAATTTACCATAGCGCTGTCGGTTTTAGAGGTGAGGATTATTCCTCTGGTATAACTGTTGAGCACTACTGAATATCCTGTAATCTAACTAGTAGTTTTGTGACTTCTAATTTAATTTACTTTCAGATGATACACATTTTTATGACATCTTATCATCCTGATCAGTAGTCATATGTGAACTATTATGAGGAGACATCAACCACTTATTGAGATTTGTTTTAATTGTTGATCAATTGTTTACTGTCTAATGTTTATTTGCATCTTTCATATAAGCACCTAATTAGATAAATGCAGAAATTCACTAAGATGCTCATTTCCTTTTTTGCAAAACCACTAACTATGCAGCCAGTTTCGTTGTTAAATTTTGTTTTCTTTGACTCATGAACATCATGATGTGACCTTTCAACAGGCATTAGTTTAGTGTTACTCTATAGAGGCAGTTGTCATAATACTTTTGACAGTTTATTTTACTTCCTCATTGTATTCACCGATTCCTTAAAAATGTTGGTTAAATCGATTACAATTACAATGATTCGTATTTGTCTGTTAAAATTATTCACCAGTGCTAGCTGGTTGGCTAACTTGAGGATGAAACTTCTGCTAGTTAATTGTGACTATCATCAACTGTTGGTGTAAACAGTGAGACAGTATATACTACTGATAAGAGCAATTAATTACCATTGAGATTTACCAGTAGTGCTTGCTTGTCAGATCGAAGTGACCTAAACACTGGACGCCTATTTCGGTGGTTTGAGACTAAACTCATCGGCGGTGCACCAGGTTTGACTCAGCTCAGATAGCCGAATCAGTTCAAACCACCCAAATTCTGGTTAGCAACTTGGGCAAACTGATAATAAATGGAAACCACAAGAACTATTAGAATTATCAGTGATATCTAATAAACCATACTAGTAATCGCCGTCAGTGCCACAAATTTTACTTAACTCAACCTTTAAAAATCTAAACGTACTCTTCCTTCAGTTTATGTACGAAATGACCTCATTATTTGTAGGGAAAGTTCATTCATTTGATAAGCGTAAGAAGAAGGAAAATTCACAAATATCTGTCATTTATTCTATTCTTTTTTATAACAGCTACACCTTAACAAAATATTTAAACTTATCTTTACATGTTATATAATTTTATACCTTATTTTTAGTATCTTATGCGTCATTCAGACAAGTAATGCCCAATTTTATCATCACATTTCTTTCGCCCTAAACTGTCATTGCAATAATTTTTCACCTTATTTAACCTCAACATTTTGAAATGTATTCTTCTTCAAATTCATGGTTCTCAAGATGCCATGGTTACCTGATGATAAAAAGAATTTATTTTAAAAAAATAGATTTTCAGTTCTACTTGCAATTCTTGTTTCTTGAGTTGAAAAAATATTTCCGTCAATTCTAATGACTTATATTTAACAAAGTAGTAGTTGGTGTCAGGCGTCAGATGGCACTCGTCAGAGAAGCGTCAGAAAAACCCCAACGATTGGAATCGATGTCAGTCAGTGTTGTAGTCAAAGATGTCATGATTAATCTACTGGAGATTACAGCTGAACTCTTGTATGATACACTAGTGGGTCACTAGGGTGTAGCCAATATCATGTTTAGTTCTTTTTGTTGGCATTGACTGGATTCTATCAGTCATGCTTGCAATATGGTCACCAAGCTAGGTGGTTCGCCATTGCAGTCCACTTTAAATTAGTGTTAAATGGTTGTAAGCAATCGATAGGAATGTAATGTGTTAAATCTGCACTTTGTACAATACTGTTTGGCTTTCTTACTATATCATTTCTGTTAAATCTTATTATTATTAAATTTCTGAGTACAATATTTATGCCAGATGGTATTTGGTGAAGCATTATGGGAAGTGAAAAATGAAACAGTAAACGGTTATGTGTAAATTACATACCACCTTCAATGAGTGGGAACAGTCAATTGCAAGGTGGTTACAACACGTGTTATATGCTGAATGATAACTGTGCAAGACAGCTAATCAATTGATGGTGCAATTAGTTGACAAAAGTGAATATCACTTAAAGAAGCACTGGGATTCATGCTCCATTGAGTTGAGTCCCAGTGGCTGAATGGTCTACGAGCTTGCCTTGTAATCAGAAGGTCTAGGGCTCGAACCCTGATAGGTGCATGCTGATTAAGAGTCCCAAACTAGGTCGAGAAGGCTGTACTCCCTGGTTTTTAAGAGGTCCTCTAACTGAAGTCAGCTCATTATCAAACTGGAAATAAATCAAATCTCTACAAACTAACTGTTGAAAAATGGATATTTCTAACTTTATTGTCAATTAAAATAGACATTTATGAAACTTTTTACTTTGGAGAACTTTTAACGAGAGAAGAACGGAAAAATAAGAGTTTAAGCCGAGTAAAAATGGGTAGATTTAATCATTTCCATCTATTTAAAACTTATCATCAGAAGGTGCTATTTAGCTTCAGTTACTTAACAATAAGTTTTTGACCATTCACTACATTATACACAGAAAGTAAAAGAACTATTTATTTTCATATATGTACTAAAAACTGCTTTTATTAGTCGCTGAAAAAAGTATTTCCTCTCTGAACAAATCTTTATTCTTCTTTATTCATGAATAAATGGGTATGTCTCGTAAAACCCAAACTTCTAAATAACTTTTACCTTGACATATTGAACAACTATTACCTTGGTTCAACCTTTCAAATATAGGAATTCAGTAGTAATTAAATTCATTCCAATTCAAAGAGGAAATTTAAAATTGTTCGATATGCAAGACTCACTGGACATGTGCTGATGATTCCAAATTTCTAACTTGAACTTTACAACTCCAACAAGAATATACAAGCACTTAAACTCCTAACGAAGCTTTTTTTCCTGGTTAACAAAACTGACGCCTAGTTAGCTAACAAAAGCTACACAAAAGTTCTACTGCAAACTTGAAAAACAAAAACAAAAAAATTAGCAATAAAATGAATAAACTTTGTTTCTTGCGCAATCATATCGATAACTTTTCCCTATCTATATCAGTGAATTGGAAAATCTTCCTGTTTTCTTATCCCATACCGAACAATAAAAAAATGAAAGTATAATGAATAATAATAATTAATATAAAGTCGATTTTCACTGTCAGTGAAATTTAATGGATGATTAACTGTCACCTGATGATTAGTTTCTTCATGCTTTGTGATTCCATTTTGTCCTTTTCATGAGCATAAATATTATGTTTTTAGACAAAATTTCAAATAAAAACAGTAGATTCTATTCGAGGAATACGACTATAAGAAGAATAACTGGAGTTCAATGAACCATGAAAATTATTTCTTGCCTACAAATATCATGTGAAGCATTTGTGCATAAGAATTTACATGAATAGTGAGAAGGAGGAGTAGACTCGAATCAAATAATCAGTCATCTCTACAATTAATGCAAGCACCATTCTTCTCAGAACACTGTTATTTCTGTTAGATGAATAAATCTAATATTCTTTAAATAATATATATATATTGTGCACTCAAGGAAATACGTTATACTCTACGATGAAAAAGCTTGATGAACTAAAAGCAAATGATAGCAAGTGACCAAAAGAAAGTTCATAGTGTGGATGTCATTACTCTAATTCTTCAATAACTACTGTGGAGGACATATCTTTCTCAGTGATAAGCAATTTAAGTATTTAATAAATAAATTTAATAAACAACAAAATAATCATTCTTATCTCACTAGTTTGTAGATCAGAATACTGGTTAATACTTCAAATAAAGCGATTACTATGTCCAATAAGTAAAATTTTGAAGAATGAAATTATAATCCTAATTGTAACTGCAACAACACTTTCTATACAGTCAAGAATACCCGAATCTGTTTTACGTTAAGTTTAAGAGGGACTTTTCATAAATAGTATCTGTTTGAAAGACTTATTCTAATGAGTTCATCACGGTAAATTTGTCTTTATAAAACGTGCTACTTTCTCTGGTAAATTATGAAATTCTATTCTCTATAACTGGGATAAGTATACCTTTACTAATAAGTGGTTAAGATTAAAGACTAACTGAAACATAAAATATCTTAGCACATAGTTCTAAGTTGTTAGTCAGTTAGTAAGTCTAGTTTACTCACCTAAATCACGAATTTAAGACATATCTTTATGCATTTTTCCTTTAATATAAAAAATAACCCTACAGTTTGTACACTACGTCAGGAATATTTATTCGGATGCTGCAGCGGTGTCTTGATTACGTTTAGCTGAGAACTTTACTAAACAGTTGTTATATAGCATGCATTAGACTAGCTGAACAGAAATATATGCACAGTCTACTTTTAAAAAGAATTTTCACTTGACTGCCAGTTTCCTTTCACTTATAATTTGGTAATAACACATTTAAACAGTTCAGTCTGAACCACAGGTGGGGACTGTTGCATAATAACTTTTATTCCCGAGCAACAGTACAGGAGACTAAGTACATAAAACCGTGAATGGTCAGTTATTTGGACTACAGTTAGACCAATAAATATAACACTTATAACATGGTATTTTTACACCACTCATAATGCCAGAAAAGTACTTACTACATTTGTGTGGAATATAGTAATTTTAAGTATAGAGGGTGACATTTAAGTTATATCATTACAGCTCTCCTTGTATAGAATCTGAGATGTTGTTCATTTTGGGCTTTGTAAAATTGAAAGTGCGCTTTCAATAATGCATTAGCCTGAATTAATCTTATCTAAAATTATTCTTACTAAAGAATAATTAATGCACCGACTGCAAAGACTGCTAGAAATTTCTTTACCACGTTTTAAGATACGTAAAACAAAGTTCTGATGCATTATATTCCGCAGAAAGTTGTGCCCTGTTTTATTTGCAATCCTGTTGTTAAGTCACTTGTTAAGTAAAATTGGCCTCGAAATGATTTTGGGATGAACAGTGCCTATAAAATCTTTAAAGAATTTCAAACAACAATCAGCCAACTCTCCTTATTTGCTTTTAGCCATCTAACTAAACTTTTTAGCGAAAAATTTGTTCTTTTAAGAGTTACTTCTGATTGTTCTGTAATTAAAAGGCATAGAGAAAAAGGATGGATTCTTAAAACAGTCGTTTGCCTACGTTTAAAAAAAAATTGATTTAATACTTAATTGTATGGTTTAGTCAAAAAAAGAGTAGTAATTAGGGGAAGAGTATTACCACTTCGACTGTTTTAATATTTTTTTAAAACTCAACAACGACTGAAATAACTTGTATGAAGAGTGTTTTAGAAGTTCGACAAAAATGTTTGCAGATTTTCTTCCATTTCTAAATCACTTCAGGTTATGTTTAATAGTTTAAGACAGATTTGTTGTTAAGGTGTTAGCCGGGAATAAAGAGGTAGGAAAAGTCAAAGGAGACCTTCCTTACTTCTATGTTTACATCCATTCATTGAGATATTTTGCATTAGATACAATCTCACTCTCCTGTTTCGTCCCTTTTCGGCATCTTCAGCTGAATGTGCTCACATTCTCACAACTATTGGTATTATCAACATTATTTAAATATTTGTACTTTTAGAAGGTAGATCTTCCCCCACTGGGATTCTGAGTCGCAACGGTCATCTCTTTGTTTGTTCAGTACATTTTATTTAGTTCACTAACTTTAAACCAAAGTGTTTTCCTGTGACGCTGACGAAGTCGAATTTCGAAAAATACAAATAGAATTATCTTTAAAAAATGTGTACATATGTGAAAAGTGGTTCTACCTCACAAAAATTCCCCCTGTTCACATCATAAGTTATAAAAAAAGAAGCACTTTCGACTATTACACTTATAAATTCTACCTAAAAACATAATCACCATGACGAAAACAACCTTTGCAATAAACTCTGATATAATTCTGTTGTTGTTTCAATCAGTTTCATCCGAATGTAAGTCCACGAAAGCTTCATTCACATCACACTTAACTAATACGTATTTATATAACTATATGCATGTATAATTTCTATGACAATCAGCTAATTTATGCGTTTCAGCTAGTTATATCACAGAAGTTTAACGGTAAATTGCTGATGGGAGTAGATCAAGCAACTAAAGCAAGTGTCTTATCTTTAATAGCTTTTGTACCGAACTCAGATAGTTGATCGGTAGGAAACGCAGTCAAGTTTACCTATCATTCAGTAGCAAACCTAAGTGTCAAAACGCACAGCAGACAAGGGTTAAAGCTTATGTGAATAAGAAATCTTCTCATAACATTTGGTATTTTTCAAGTTTTCTTCATCTAAAGTTAAGCAATGTTGTACTTTGATGAAATTTACAGTGTTTTATCACGAATAAATCCATCACTACGTTATTTTCCATATTCGCATTCGACGGTTTTCATCAGAAGTCAAAATAATCGGAAAAGACATTAGAAACTAAGGTGTTAAGGGTATCCATGTCGAATAATTACAGGAAGTTAGGATGAAATATTAGATATTCTGAGCTAATTAGATTAGATCCCTCAGGAATCAAGGAATCAAAGATACCAGTCACACATATCAGATTAATTGATGGCTACGAGGTTGAATACTACCACTTTTTTATTCCCAAAAATCACAGTAGTGCGTGGATGAAAGTTTTTCGAAGAAAAAGATGTCAGAGTTTAGTACTTCTTCATGTCGGTTCATTTTTCAATTAACGTCGCTTGATAGACATAACGCTAAATATATTTGATGGATTATCCCAAGTCGACTTGGATTCCTCTAATTTTCTTTGCACAAACCATGTTAAGCCCATAATAACTAAAGTGAATTCCCTACTCAGAATATCATGAAATCTTTGTCATGACTTCAAAATGATTTCATCTTGAAAATATTTCTTGTTATGTCTCTACATTATTGTTGTATTGAGAACACGATGTTTTTGTTCTTGTCTCTAATATTTGTACTATATTTTCTATAAAAACAAAACATGTTTTTTCCTCGAATTTGAAGATTTTTCCAACAATTAACTATTTCATACATTAACTATTTCTGTCTGTGTGTATTACTTCCTTATTTCTCTTCTTTATTTCGATGAGATCGGTTACACTGAACGAATTCATCTTCACTCCAAATTGAAATGTTTCTTTTAGCTTTACAAATATTTTATTTCAGCAATGTTGGTATATAATTGCTTTAACGTGATAATTATTCAATTATAATGAACTTTGTTGAATAATTTCTAAATATGCTCCACCCTTATCAGTAGATGAGAGAAGACACGTGTTTTGCATATTTGAATTAGATGAGGAGAAGATAGATTCATTTCTGTTTATCTATTACGGTTCACTTATTCTCATTCTCCTAAACAATGTCAGTGTAAAAATTAAACATGAACAGACTGGTGGTTATAGGATTACAAGTTTCAAGTTAGCTGCATTAGATACTATTTGAAGGAATTCACAAGTCAGTAGTGAGAAGGATGTTTCGCAAGCTATAAACAAGGAAAATCCTGAAGACATGATTCACTTTATAGCAGATTGTCACTAATAAGAAAACTGTATACATGATCAATAATTTTTGTTTTTATTCTTCCAAAGGAGGGTATTTTAAACAGTAGGCAGAAGAAAGAAGTGATTGTTCTCAGTCCTAAATTCCAAGTAGTTACCTGAACTTACTGTCGCTTATAAGTAGCCATCATTAAAACCTCATATGTTAGACTCTAGTACTTATCAGGAGGAACTGACGTGTATCTGATATCACGACTCATAAAGCTGACATTATATCGCAAATACTTGACAAAATAAAAGCATGTGATTATATATGATTCTATGCGGTAAATAATTTTAAAGCCAAAACTACAAACAAAGAAATTTATAATATTTATCCTCTTTTTATAAGACCTTATGTGTAAGATACAGTGAACTCCTGTTCAATTTACAAAATTCTCAACTAAACGATTTTGTACCATGTTTTTTAGGCACGTCAAAACTATCACATAAGTTGGTGTTTAAAATAATTGTTTCAAACTCGATAGTGTGTATTTACTTCCAAACTGAGTTTTTTGCTCTGAAATACTAAATAATAGGCTGAATGTATAGTTTTCAAAACATTCTCAGTTTGAGATTTAAGACAATGCATCATACGATAAAAGTATACGCATGAATTAAATAATTGGCTGTCTGTCGGCGATTTGTAAATATTTGGTAAAGACACAGGGAAGCAACAATTTCCTAATACTTAGCCTGACTGTCAGCTTGAAATCCTTATTCAGTACCACATAGTTCACACGGGGAATAGTGCTAGCATATTGCTTAAGACAGAGCATTAGTTCTTATTTTAAAAATTGTCATTTTTAATGATATATGTTCAAAGTTTACAAATTCCTAATTGCATACAACAATTTTTTACTCTTATTAATATGGACATACCTTCAACTAAAGAAGTTAGTAATGTAACCGTTGCAGCCTTTCGTCGTCCAGCTGGTAAATTCAGTCCAATTTTGTCCAACTTGTCTCGCAAGGACCTTCCCCCATTTTTAGATTTGGCTCTAATACGATAAATTGGAAAAGCGTAAATGTTTAAAAATAGACATGGAGAGTTTCGGGGTTTACAATATTCATACATTGGAATCAGCTGAATAGTTTTAATGAAACAAGAACTAAGGTAAAAAGAAAAGTGATCTCATTTCACAGCTATTCTTCAGTATTATTCGAAGGCGAAGGGAGTTGACGTATTCATGATATGATGGAAAGTTGTAGAGTCACAGAGAGTGGGAAGGAGCTAAAAATGTATGATTAGAAAGAGATTCACTAACCATAGATAAAGCATTATATAAATAAACGAATCAGTTTACTCAGGGATATGATACCTTAATAAAACTGTAGCTGTAGAAGTATTTTCCTGTTCAATATTTGGTACTTTTTATTTTCTGAACTATCGATGTATAGTTAATTGGGATTGAATTTCAGGCAACAAATTTACACATTTTCTCTTTTATTTCACATGTTCCCTTCGCACTAGTCCGAAAGTCATCAGTTGAACTGCTGATCATACCCCAGAATTTTTGTCCTTTTATATGTACGTTGAAATGCGTGCTTCACTTTAGACATTTTCTTAAAAGTAAAGTATTCTGGTGCAGTCCAAGTGAGAAAAGCCTTGGTGTAAAGTAAATGATATAGTGTCTATGTATCTTTCTACTTAACACTTTGAGAACATATTCCGTCGGTTAATTAAATAGTGAGTTAAATGTCTATCCACCTTAGTGTTCATTAATGGGTGTATGTGTATGTGCGTGTGCGTGTGTAAACCTCAATCTTTAAAGTGAACTCAGAAACCAGTAAGTAGGTTATTAAATAGTTTTTCTCGAGTGGTTTTGGCTTTTCTTCGACTGTTGCACAATTTTTAGTTTGGATAAGTTGTTAGGTTGAAATTTGGAATGAAACAATGAACCCCCTAAAGGCATTAAAATAGCTTTTGTGGTTTAAGCAAGCAAATGATCATAATTTTTTTGGCTAATGAGCCACTTAGAGGATAAAATCATCCTTTTCATAATCTATTTTTTAAACAAAAACACAATTAGCGCAAGATAACGACTGATCAAGACAATATTATTCCCCGCTGTGTAAAGTTTTGAATTTTTAAGTAACCATCTGCTACATTCAGAATTATTTAAATCTAGTGCATTTCATAATGTGACCTTCAGGCCAGTTGTTGAATTCACCATCAGGTTATTGAATAAATCAGCTACATATATATTTTTACAAACTGTATTCCTAAGAGATGTTAGGACTGAATCAAATGGCTTTCTAGTATTTCTTCATTTCCCACAGATGACTGTCTAACTCCAACTTACAATTAAAGCTAATTTCATTGATACATACATTAATCCTAAGTTCATAACTCAATACTCACCTGACCAATAAGTCTCATTTCTTTTTAACTGATTAATAGTTTAGTTTTAATGACGATTTTGTATACCTGAACAAAATGATAAATCACTAGTAAATGCTTACAGTCATTTGGCGCAAAACTAAAAATGTGAGTCTTTACATTGATAACAGTCGTAAGTAAGTTGCTCTTGAGATTTAAACTTATTTCACTAGAAATCAAAGCTACAGAAATAATTCTTAAACTAATTAGGACAGATTTTGTAGTAGATCAGGTTACTGAAAAAGTAAGTGGACTATCACATCTTCCGGCAGCATTTTCTTTGTATTCTAAAATGTTGTTTTAGAAATTATTATATTCTTCATGGTTGTATTTAGTAGTTGTCAAAAAACTCATAAATGTTTGTAGATAACATTCAACTGCATTCTTGTAGACCTTCGAGTCTTATTAGTTCTACATTTTAAATTAAGAAGGGGAACTCATTCTCATCCCTATATAGAAAAATTTTGTTATACTATTATTTCAATCAAATTTCAACATACTGATCACAAACAGAAATCATGACAGTAATAATAATGATGGTAATAATATAAAAAGTTATACCCATTAACTGTATTAAATAAAGTAGTGTTACTTAGAAAAGCTTACCGACGTAGAACTCCACCAAGCAATGAAGCATTCAAACATTCTGGTGGTGATAAACGTCTTTGAACCTCAGCGACAGTTACTTTATATTTTGACGTGGAACTCAGTAGTGACAGACGCCCGGGAACAGTGCAAAATATATCTGATGGACTAGGTCCATGCATAAATTCGGTTCGGCCCTCAGAAGCAGCTTTATAACGGATCCCTGAGTAGGAAAAATATAATAAAGTGGGTAAATCATAGGTCTTTAATTATTAACGTATATTTAATGTGTTAAATTGTTGAAATCTTATCTAAAAAGTCTGTCTAGGTAAAAGATTTTAGTGAGTGGTTAAGACAGTTAAAAGTTATAAGGAATTCCAAATAAAGGTATTATAGTACTATGGCTCAGGTGTGTGCCGCAAAAATTTAATGAATACGCTTCATTGCCTGTATTCATTCAAAACATTCTTATAACTTTACCGTAGATTAAAAAATTACTTGAAATAATCTCAGCGTGTTACAAAATCAAAATAAGACTCTTCTGAACATTTCGCTATGTGAGCCACAGCTTCTTCGTCAGAAATTACTCGGATTTCATCATAATTGATTTCCACAAAAGAATTTTTGTTGTAAGGGAGTAATGGATAACTGTTTAATCCTATTTTAGAACTTGTTAACGCAGTCAGGATAGAACACACGAAATTTAGACTACTGGCCAAACACTTTTATCATATAGTTACTGAATTGGAATCCAATGGGCAGTAAATTCCAATTTTTTGTCAGTCAGCCACATAGCACCATTGCCATCTAATACCATTGATGAGTATTTACCTTCTTTCAAACTCGACTTAACAAGACTCTCTGGTCACAACTTCTGGTTAAAACTTCGGAAAAATAATCTCATATCCAGTTAACAACAAGCAACATGTTTGTATTCTGATATCAAGTTTGAGTGATGGAGTTAGAACTCATGTACTATTGAATTCTAACCCATCAGCTGAATGGTAATGCGTTTCTCCTTATTTTTATCTCTTCTGGGATCATGGTTGCACATTACTAGAGTTAAAGAAGTGTCTATTTCCTCTTGACTTTCAGTAGTTATTCAACAGATATCAGTTTGTGCTGAAAGTCAAAATGAGATCGATTAAATCTCCTCAATCCAACATCTGATTATTCTTTTGATCTCCTCCCATTTTGTACTTTAACTGACTAATAACTGAAATGATATGAATAATTCATTATTTGAGATTAATGAATCAATGTAAGAGAACTTCATTGATGAGTAATAGTGACTTCCTTCCACTGTAAATACAGTCAACTAAACAATAATCTATCGGTATTGTTGACTAATAAAAGATTTCTCTCATCGCTAAGCTCCCAATAAAAACAAACATAGAATATTACATGATATTCAACTAAAAGATGATCTCAATTTCCTTTTTGATAAACATTCATCTACTTTTGTCACATAGCTTATTAATGTTAAGTGATTGCAAGTTATTACGTAATTCTGACATATTTCACTAACACCACCCTATGAGTGTTTACAGTTTGTCATTTTCTATAAAGTCAAACAGTCCACTGTTCTTATACTACGTACACACATGCATACACACACAAAAAGCAATAACACTCCACGTACGCCAATGAAATAAGCAAATAAACTGAAATGATTACATGTTTGGTAATCTCATCAGAAAGGGATTAAATAGACACTGTAGGTGTGATAATTATATTTCGGTGTCTTTTTTATTTCTGTATCAAGAATTAAACATAAACATAAGCAACTGAAGTCATTGGGATCAGCAGACTTGTTTATTAGGACAGCGAGAGGAAGAGGGAAAGAAATAAAACGAAATCGAATAATGACAGATTTCGGTAAGAATAGAAAAAGTGGATAATGCTTTCTCACAATAAAAGAACAATATAATTCCTTAAATAACACTTAACAGATTATCAAATAAGTTAAGTTTCATGTAATACTTTGTGGGACAATTTTAATCTTTATACCTCCTTACATATATATAATTAAAATGTAGAGCATATTAAAGTTTCACTCTTTTAGTTACATAAGACACTACTTAAATTAAGTTATCTGAACCTACTGACGGATTTCATAATAAGCAAGTATATTTAAGGCACTAGTTGAAAATGAGAAAAATCGGAAAACTTCCAGATTCATTCCAGGACTGGTAATAAACATTCGTCAGGATCGTTGTAAAATAACTATAATACATCAGAAAACGTTTGATTTTGCTAACCACCAACAATAAAGCACAGCTGATTGACTTGATATGTTGCCTGTCACCACAGTTCTTCGGATGTTAGTTATAAAATTGCCTACCAATCTCTGAGAGATGGCAGGGTATACTATGTGATTTGTAAGTATGAGATATCTTAGTTGTTTTACAACGTACACGATCGAACTGCTTAACAGAGAGCCGCTATCACAAACAAGGGTTGATAAGTTCAGTTGCAAAGACCTACAGTGCAGAATGTCACAGTCTAATGATAACTTATGCTAGTCAACAGGGTGATTAGGCTAAATGAGTAACTAAAAGCGAATAATATTCTGATATGTCAAGTGTTTATAACGCTGACATATTATTATACAGGTAAACACAGCTACGAAATTTCAAAATACTGCACATTTTTTATTTTATTTTCAGTCGCTACTATATCATATTAAAAATATTGTATAGTTCATCAAGTGGAATTTCAGTAAGGAAGCTTTTTTAATTACTGACATAATACTGTATGTCTTATAGGTTAAAATGTCCACAGAATCCTCATTTAGAACCCATATTCTTTATACATTATGTGTATTTGACCTGTTTATCTATTTACTTATAAACCTATCTGAAACATTTGTGGTCCCAATTAGACATAAATATAAAAAATATGAACATAACATGAGTGGAATGCTCTTAAGTTTCAACCTGTTGCTGGTACTCAACATAACAAGAGGATGATATTCATGACTCAAATATTTGCTCAATAGCTAAAGTGATCATCTTAAATGGAGTTGTTATATATATATATATATATATATATATATATATATATATATATATATATATATATATATAAGGAAAACACATATTAATATCACAAACTAACTTTATTGACTTGAAATTACAAACGTATGTGAAAACGCAATCCACTTCATAACCTGACTAACCTTTGTTATAATTAACACTGAAAATAATAATTGCTTAAGATGTTTAACAATTTTTGCAGCGACAATTTCAGTTTAATGGATATATCCAGTTAATACCTGGATGGAATTCAACAGTGTTTAGTGCTTCTCAGACTCATTTAGTTCGTGACATTGGTGATGCAAAATGTATTCACACCAACTTAACAATGAAGTTCATAGAAAATTGTTCTATCTTAAATAGTCATAAATGGTTACATAGCTTACTTTTATTTTAGCCCCAAGTAATTGTTTAGTATGGAATAGTTTCATCATTTGTTCGAATAATGAAACAATGACAAAAAAAGCTTACAGGTTTGATCACTGGGGGTCGAACCTAGAACCTTCCTGTTAAAAGGCTAGCTCCTAAGCCAGTTACTCAGCGGGACCTTATCCAAACGGCCCATGAATCCCAACTCCCGGTAATTCACGATGTATGTCTTACATATTATTATCTCATTTAATAAGCAATTCATACACTGAAACATTATTTAATCGTTCACTTTTGTTATTGCTTTATATATATATATATATATATATTACCATTAAGATTTTGGATGTATTAGGGATTCTTGATTAGTTACAAAGTAGATTTTAACTCCACCCAGCAGCACTTAGAGAATCATTGAAAACTGAGGAGCACTGGAGATCCATTTAGTCCTAGTGTGGAACGCACCATTAGCCCCACTAGAAGTCATGGTTGGTGATGTCCACTACGACTGTAAAGCTTATTGACGGCATTGGTTGAGGATAGCACTATATCGTGAAGTTAGAATTCACGAATCAGTGTATTCAAATCTAGTGACTGGATGGTTAATAGGCTTACGTTAGACTTTGTGTTGTGTTGTGAGCCTGTGCTACTGGGAAGGATGGAACAGCCGTTCAGTTCTCCTTTGTTTCTAACGATTGTCTAACCGATATTAGATCATGGTCACACCTAATTTGTCATTTTCTACTATTATTTACAACAAACTATGTTCGAAACACTATCCAGTAAATAAAAAAAAACGTGAAACTAAATGCCATAACAGTGCCTAGGGTTTGCACTCATATTATTAATACTAATGCCTCCGAAACACTTTGAAATATACACACAAAAATCAAAAACAAAAAAGCTGTGTATGAATTTTTTATCTTAAGTTCACCAGTCACCGATTTGCACATTTATCTTGGTGCTTTTGTTAGTGAATTCATGATATTTTGAGGGATGATAATATTTTACAACTCAGAATGTATATGTTGTCATTATCGCCACAGGAGACAATGAGTATCCGCTAGTGAGTGTTACAGTATGACTCCAAAAGAGTAGGTTCAAAAATATCGAAATCTAGTTAGTTCTGTAATTATGACAACAATAAAATTATGGACTACCTCAGGAAAATAATCACATTAATTGAATATTAGCTGGAATTATTTTCTGATAGGGGACATTAATACTTAACATTCTTTTAACACGTAGCACAATCATAATATAATGACTATTTTCTAGTAATTTGCATGAAACCTGTTGACTTGCTGAAACAAATAATCTAGTGAATATTCTCCTTCTGAGGTTCACCTAATAGAAATTGAGACTAGTATCTAGCTACAGTTTAATCTTAACCATTTTTCAGCTTACATTCAATAATGCTGTTTCTATAATTTCCATTGAGTAAACTCGACAGTGTCTGACAAAAGAAGGTTAACAGAGACTACTCAATTTGGTGTTTTTGTGTTCTCTCAACTGGATGGTTTAGTTGCGAGGCTTTCATTTTCTTTCTAGGCATTGTCTTCAATGCGAACTTGTTGTCTGAATGGGAGATTAAAGTCTCTCTGCTAAACTATCCTGTTCAGAAAGCACGACAACACTAATTCCACCCACGTGATCTACCAATAATCTTCACTTTTTCAAGGGATTGTTGAACACATGACAGCTTCCCGAATGATAATAAGTATATATAAGTAAACTTAAAATGCCTATACTTACATTTCACTCTCGTTTATTACTACTTTTTATGATCCGTGTGATTACATCATCAGCAGTAATTACCTATGAGGATTAAAGGTATGATGCATGTTGTACTGAATCAATCTCAAATCAAAATATCCCCTACAGTCCTACAGGAGGTCAATCGCGAGCCCGAATAGCTCAGTGGTAACGTCTCTGACTGCAGCACTGGGTGACGCGGGTTCGAATCTCAAAAGGGACATGAGTTCCTTCGAGGTTGCAGATACGCCTTGCTGATGAATGCCAACCAGAACGAAACCTAGGTCCAAGGCTTCCTGCCGATTGCCTCCAACCATCTAATATCATCTCAAATCCATCAGTCTAAGTCAGTTTCATCAATATTTCATTATATCTTCATACTCTTAAAGCAATCTTATTGCACATCAAAAGACTACTAAGTAGTGAAATAAATTTGATGATAAAACGTCATTTGTTCTTCTTCTTTCTAACAAAGTTACTCTAACTACATACTGAAATTCTTAAATACAAAAACACATAAATCATATGCTTCAGTCTAAATTAACTGCAATGGTCTAAATAAATTGGTCACAATTAAGAATAAATAAATAACTGCAAAATAAATTCCATTTTTATTTTGATGATTTGATTTGATTCATTTAAACAATCCACGATTGTTTATCTTTTGAAATATTTTGTACTCCTAGTTTATTTGCTACTTATATTCTAAGAAATTAATGTAGAAGGATAATTTCTCTCAGTAATTTTTCCTTCCAGACAGAATGGAAGAAAAAAGTAATTCCCGTAATTAACTTAATCATAAGAAAAATTTAGGGGAAATCTTCTCGAGAAATTTTTTAAAATGTATGATCTGGTGTATATATAAGAAGAAAGGGACAGAAGAGAAGGGAAGAAAAAGAAGACACTTTTACTAATTGTGAACAGTATTTTTTTCTACTGAGAAAAAGAAGCTTTTATCCCAGTAGATTAACTTTGTGCAACGACGCACGTGTTTGAGAGATTTTTTCTACCGTCTGAGAAATGCTATAGTATTCTTGATAATTAATTGCATTAGATTTTTTAAAATTTTACTACACAACTGTGGATTTTGCTTCCATATGTTACGCTTGAGGGTATGATAACCGAAAATTACCTGCCATGTGTAAGGTGTGAAAATTTCAAGTGAAATAGAAATGGAATAATCCGAAATATTGTTTATGAGATAAATATTTAGAAATCACTGAGTTCAGACATTCCCTTTTAATATGCTGTTGATTCACACACACAGTTTTTTATATGCTTGTTTAATTAGCTTATATTTAATCTTTTTTCCTACTTAATTACACATTTACAAGTAGTACACTTACATAGACTGATAACCTTATTATCAACCTAAATGCTTAAGAAAATCTAGCTTCTGTTATTTTCTGAATGAGAATAACTTTATCAGTTTATCTGGCTTGTTTATCTGAGTACCCTCAAAATATTCATCTCATGAGATACAATACCCACTTAATAACTTTATGAAGTGTGTAGCTGATATAGTCCTGCTGAAATTGTCACCAGGTAAGATGGTGCGCATAGTCGTCAGTGTATGAAGGGATTCTTCAAACACTGTTTGAAACCAGAACAGTATACTTTCTCTGCTGTGTATATTGTGAAAATTAGAAATACAACTTGCAGCAGGCATCAAAACAATTATTGTTATATGTTCCGTTCTATTTTCTCAGTCAATGAACATGATTTCCTTTCTATGGGAAGACTTTTCGAGTGGTTTTATTCCATTGGTTACGATACATATTAAACCTTTGATACTCAAAACTAGAACTTCGATTGAGAATTTCTTTCTGCTTCTTTTTATTCATTGAGTTCTTGGTGGAATATAAGGCTTCAAACTCTGAAGTTTCGGTAGCGGTGTTGTAGTTTTTACAAGGCCAGTTTGCATGCCTCACTAAGCAAGGTCAAAGAATACCTCGGCCGGGAATCGAGTTCAGACCTTCTGCATTGACGCACTACTCTGCTTTACTTTTACTAAATTCACGCTGTTACATTCTTATTTTGTCATAAAACATATTTTTGTATGTCCTTAAAATTGATAAAGATGACATGTATTCATCGGTTAACTCCTTCATTCACCTAAACCAGAAATCTATATGCGGAAGCCGTAACGATTGAATACTACGCAATACTGCGCAAAAATAGTGTCATACAGAGTACTGTTCGCATCACATTTCTCAATGAGAAGAGGGTGATCCACTCCACATATTAGATTCAGGTCTATGTTAATCAGTTTCATTACATGATATCTTTAATTTCATATAGCAAACGGCTTTAAAATACCCATCTTGTGTTGTATCAAATATTTTAATGTTTGAATAATGTAAAGGAAACTAACCTCTTTTGCAGAAACCGTTTTTGCCACTTGTTCCAGAAGATAAACGACTGAATGCCTGTTCAGGTGTTGTTGAAGCTGTCGCCTGAAACGTTACATTTTGTGTACAACCAGTAGGAAAATTAGCCGGAAATCTTGTTGTCTGAGATTGTGTCATATATGAATTGGACTGATCAATATTATAGGTTAAATTTGTTTGAAGCATAGCATTTGTAGGATCGTTTAACAGACCCCCTGTCAAACCTTGGATTTCTGAAGAAAACCCTAAATCAAAAGCAGTTTTTAGGGAATTCACGTCAGGATAGCTAGATGGTCTTAAATTACTTTTGTCATCTTCACAGCCTCTTATATTACACTCTGGCATTCTTTCGTTCGAACTTATCTCACTCATTGTACCACACCGAAGTGGAGATGAATAAGGATTTTCGTCATTTGAAGATGGATTCATTTGTGACCTGCCAACCTCATGTCCCATGTCGAAATTTCCTTTATTCGATCCTGGTGATAAAAACTGTGATGAATTGTGTGGTGACGATCCTGTAGTGTCTATAGAAGACGGGGTCCCGCTCTAAAATTTAAAGTAAAGACAAGGTAAATAAATGGAAACTACACATGAAAACAATTTTTTCACTTATGACCACATCCTAGTGTAGGAAGCGCAATTGTTAACAAGTGCAGTATATAAAACTACCACTTTAGCTCTTCTTATACTTTTGTGTTTTAACTAGTTATCTTAACACTGTTGTGTCTCTATACAATACAAACAGGAAAATTAACCTTGGCGGGAAATCTTAGGCGTTTTAAATTCAGTTGAAGAGGACTTATGCTGTACAATTAGGTGGATTTAATTTCCTTCTAAAAATTACAAATAATACTCGACTTGTTTTGATTAATAGTTCGTATGTACTTAGTTTGTTTTAGTAAGGAAATTACGTGGCAAACTGGATTTGTAAGTTTGTCAGAAATCGAAAGGCTGAAGTGTTTTACTTCATTTACCTTCACTTAAATTGGCGCGTACTAGGAACACCCTTGCTTAATTAATACAAAAATGCAGCTATAATGCTAAAGTTAAGAAAAAATAAACCTCTTCTTTCATTCAAAGTTCTAGGTGTTGAGTACCTAACTAACATAATAATAACAAACTTTTATCATATTACTTAAATCACATTTTAATTTTCATTCAAATGCACTATATAGTACCACCTCGTTTGTAAGCGAACATTAAATTTCTTTACCTGTTGATAATTTGAATCCATTGCATGCTCCAACTGTCCAAAATTCTTCTCCAGTAATTCATATCCAGGCAAAAGAGAACGATTATGAGTATCTAAGCGATGAATAAGGAAAGATTGAGTACTGACAGCTAAGGATTGCATTTCAGATGTCTCATTATCAGATTTTAAACTCAGTGATTTGGAATTATTGTCGGTGTTTGCTTGCGTTAAATGATCAACCATTTCAGATATTTTAGAATTGGGAATAGTATTCATCTGTAAGTAATTAAAACAAAGATGGAAGATTATTTGAGAAAACCTCAGTTTTGCACACGGAGGTTGAGTGAATTCACTTCACCGTCATATAAATTAAAAAATATTATTTATGTGGCTAAGTTGCGAGACTTATATGAATGATTTATTTTTGTTTAATAATTTGATGCTTACAACAAACCTTACCGATTAGAAAAGTTCAGTTGAAATAATAAGCTTTATTAGGCCTGTAAGTAAAGTTAAAATCATGATTGAATGTTCAGGTTCAGTATGAATGACCTCCATGTAAAATTATTTCAGTCAACGGCTGATGCTATTTCCAGTTTTTCAAAACTTGGAGAATACATTCATGATAGCTTGATCAGTACAGATTTTGGGAAGCAAATATTTATCGTAGTTCCCACAAGAGGTATGACACCTATCTAGTCATATCATTAAGGTCAGTCAGCCATTTTATCTCAATCTATACTTTCAGTAAATTTCCTGTCAAAAGAACCACGTGAGTTCAATGACTAGATGTCAGTCACCTGTGCAAGGAGAACTATTTATTATATAATATTTAGATATCCGTTATCTACGAGAAAGACAGAATGTCTTCGGATTCTCTCTTTTGATACACTCTACTAATCATATACAAGAGTGATACTAAAGTATTAAATTGAGATAAACCGCCACCGTACAGAATCAAATCTAAATACCACTATATTCTGTCGGTAATTCGGTTTAATTTATCGCTATTAATACTCAGTTAACATGGAAGAGTGGTTCAATGCTCCTTGACACCTAGTATTTCTTCATATTAAACAAAATTAATGAAAAAAAATGGACTAGCTAACATCATTCTTTAATACACTCCCTTGAAAGAAAAATCTCAATCTCTTAACCAAAAGTCTGAAATTTAATTAATTAATACTCAAGAACAATGCTTAAAAATGCATTAAGCGGAATACACGTAGGAAGCGTTACCTGATCCGTACTTGTACCACTTGTTTGTATACCACTTTGTAGTGAATAGTTAAATGGGTAATTAGTGAACATATTAGGTGTATTATTACTGTTATTATTGACATCTGATAAATGTTCACCGGCAAGCAGTGATCCATTCATATAATTCATAGATGTATAGTAATTAGGATTAGCGGCAAAATATGAAGAAAAAGGAAAACTTGACGCATTCACATGAAATCTCTGTTGCTGGTGTTGTTGTTGCTGTTGTTGGACATGATGTTGATGTTGTTGTTGTTGTTGCTGTTGATTATTTTGAAGTTGTAAATGATGGTTCAATCCAGATGGATTATGATATAAATTCGCCTGGTAGAAATTTCCAGAATAATTGTTCATACCGCTTAAAAATGATGCATTTTGTCCATTGGTATGATATGAATTTGTATTGAGATTAGTAGTTGTTGCAGTATCTGTCATTATCATTGGTGTAGTTACTGATGGATAATAAGGTGGAGGAAAATAAGGTGGTTGGTAATCAGAATGGATTCCACCGCTTAGTGAATTATCCACATCAGAATTGGTTTCATTCTCAGGAACACAATTACCCGCAGAAAATTGATCCTAAATAATGCAAACCAAAAGATTCAAAGTTAGGAGTGAACTTTTACACTTTGAAGCCAAGTATGTGTTATGGCAACATTTTCACGTTATAATTCATTAAATAATTATTTATGACTTAAGTATATTTTGTCAGTTGCTTGAAAAAGAGGACTTTTCGAAATAAGCTGTCATGCACAGGAAGCTCAAGTGATTCTTTATAATCGGACATCTACCACTTCATGTGTAGCTACTGGTGATGACTAAATAGATATTGTATAACCGGTACACTCTGTTTATTTTTTGGCTTTTTTTCCCACTATTCAGAAGGAATTAATACAAAACAGGAACTATTACAAATCATTCATTGCAACACACTATCAGTTTTATTTAAGTGCCACACGTTTGATGACCATTTCTATCCCACCACTTTGGTATATTATAACTTGCAAAATGTAATTGAACTAAAAATGATGTATTTTTTGAATTATTAATCAAAAGATTAATTTTCCTGTTAGAACTACGTTTGTACAGATGAACTTAGTGGTTTTATTGTAATATCGTGGAAACGTTGAGTAGATGTACTGTCTGAGACAAAAAAAAACACTGATATAAACAAACATGTATAGATTGACATGCCTAGCATGTTTTTAAGAAGTTGGAGACGACTGAAGACAAAATTTAAGTGCCATTAGAGAAATGATGTTTAAAGGTTAGTTTTCTGCTTCGTTGGTAAGGCAGTCTATCTACGACCTGAAGACAGTTAGTGTTCTTCCATCAGTTTGAACCAATAACACTAGATATTAAAATGAAAGAAGTTCTTATTGAATTCTTTGGGTCACTTATAGTATTTAATCGTTTCTGCAACGATTTTAGTTCTGTCATAAAAAGTCAACTTAACTTTTCATGCACTGATAGTGGTTAAGGGGAAAATTTTTTAGAAAAGCAAACATTTGTTATATTGCACAATTTCTTTTAGAAATGAACAGGAAGTTTGCAGTTTTACCAATGAGTTACACGTTTCAAATAAGCATATGAATACTGTTCAGACTAACGTCAAGAACAGCAAAAAACATTTATTAAAAAACTGTAGAATACATTAAGACTCATAGATCAATCAATTCATTCAATGCCATTAATAATAATTATTATTAGAAAAGGTTTGTACTAATTTACTCACCTGTATAACTGACGACATGTATTAATCAATTTGTAAAACAATATCAAAGCGGATATTGCTTCTAGCTATTTAGATCCTGAACCCTAGAGGCAATGTAAATTATGGAAGCGTCTTCTAGTCAGTTGTTGGTACAAGTCAATTCCTCGTAGATCTCAAAGAGAGAATGGCCGAAGGCAGTTAAAGAACTTGAGGATAAAACTGCTTTTAAATCAATAGAACCAACAAGTTTTTTTCACATATATTAAGCCACAGAAGCTCAAAAGTAAAAAATTTATTTGATAGGTTAATATAAAATAATAATTGCGAGACAGATGATATAATGCCCAGAGGGGGTGGATTCTTCCTCTAACCGAATTCACTGCTTAAGTTTGTTGTTTCTCTGCCCTCAGGCATCCTGTAAGCCTGATTATACATAGGGAAAATTTCTGCTTAACACTTTAGATTAAATGGCTAGTAAGAAAAGGCATTTGAACAATGTATCTTATCTGTCTCACCACTTAGGTATCATACTTTCATAGAAAGTAAGTTGAAGGGTAGAGCTAGCCGTTGGAAAAATAGCCAAACTAATGTTTTCATTCGTCCTTTAGGCTGAAGGGGTAGATGTTGCCAAGGTCGTGTAGCGAACCAATCAAAAACAAGTTAAGTTCACGTATTAATAATAAGTCAAACTAAAGGCAAAAATTGACAAAAAAGTGCAACAATATTCGAACTAATAGGGATTATTATGTGTTTTCTAAACATACAATTTTTTATTTAGTCTAGAAAGGTATACAGCTCAATCCATAGCCTAACAAACATAAAGACTGAGTTCTCAAGGAAACACAATATTAAGTAGAAATTATTGCGTCGTTTGACTTGCAATTATTCATTCTCATCAAAGATATTATTTACTCTTTTATTTGTACAGTTGTGTCATCTATTTTTCACCTTCTCAATGGTTAGTTTGTTGGGATTTGCTTTGTTTCAAGTTAGACTATGGACTGATATCAGCTACAGAACCATTGAAAACCAGCATTGGAGTACTGGACAGCTGTTTCGTCCTAGTTTCGGATTCACTGACAGTAGGCACCCATCTGGGTTCAAGGTTAAGATCTTCCGACCACAAGTCAAGCTCGTAGACCATTTAGCCTTTGGGACCCAACTCAGTGGTGTGTGAATTTTAATTTCTACCAGTTTGTGATTTTAGCCCGACCTCCGACCAACGTCATCGGCGAGTATTTGTTCTTACTTCCGACTGGGTGGATCCCATTGATTACGACTATTCACTAGAACTCCAGGAAACTCTGTCCTGTCGCAAGCCGCTTACTGTTGAGCATCAGATTAATTTTCAACAGTTTCAAGTTTGACCACTGATTGATATCAATTAGGGAATAACTGAAAACTGCTCTTTTGTGTTCTAAAAAAGCTTCGGTTATAGTTTATATTCATTTTTTAAGAGAATGTAGTACATCAACATATCTCACGTTTTCCTCCTAACCTAGAATATTAATTATTACGCGGCCGGTGGTCGAACAAAAATTTAAGCTGCATATTTACTTATAAGGTTACGCAGAGTTCTAAAAAACAAAACAGGAGAATAATATATTCAAATAATTTTGGAAGTGGGTTCGGTTAGGTCGACAGTAATGTTCTGTAAAAGATACTCCTGGCTTTTAGTGTATTTTATTGTAGTAGTGAGCGTAAAGCAAATAAATACCAACTAGAGAACCACTGGAAACCAAAGTACTCCTCATCAATGCATGTTGGCGGTCACATAGAAGATTGGGACTGAGATATTCAATTATTTGGGCCAACACACACATCCATGTTAAATTCTGACCCAGTAGCTGCAAAAATAATGTGCTCACTGCCAAACTTGACGAAGCTAAGTTCATTCATGCCTAGGATTACGAGTATTCATTACTAATGAATCCTAATTTTGTATGAAACATATTTTCAATGCTTTTAGGTGAACACATCTATTACACATCCAGTAAATAAAGTTTTAAGCTACTGATAGTCTATAGTACAACTGGAGGGACGATGAAATGCTACTTCTTAAGTAATTATGGCAGAAGAGTCTTGTAAATTGGGTCCTTAAAATTGTGTACATGAGATGTGAAGATGACATGAGATGATAGCAAGCGATGGCATCTGACTTCTTATTAAAAATGATTAACTAGATGTCCTTTCCTCCCTGTGAGTATCAGGGTACTAATTGGTACCTGAAATCCACAGCCATAGCTTGAGATACCAGATCTTTGCTAACTTGACTGCAGAGCCATTGCTGTCCATTTTATTTTGTTATTAGTTTATAGGCATAAATCGTTTAGCCACTGTGTGGCTGTTAACCGCCAGTATGCGTGAGTCGATTGTAATCAGAGACACTGTAGCCCTCCTAACAAAGATAAATAATTGTGCCTAGTTTATTAACCGATCCTAAGCTTAGAAAAGAAGGTTGTTGTGGGAAATGACACCACCATCCGTAAAAAAAGAACAGCGTCACTGACAAAACTTTAAAGCTTATAAAAAATAAACTTATTAAGATCGAGAACACTCTTCAGTTCGAAGATGGATGACGCGGGCGGGTGAATGCCTTAAAGGAGCCAGTAGACCGATATATCTTTTTCAATCAAAGCAAATGTAAGCCTAGGAATATGGAATATCCACACCACGTTTGAGACTAGCAAGACTGCCAAGTTGGGAGAAGAAATGAAGAGATATGATAAAGCAGTGCTGGGAATGTGTGAAAGCAGATATAAGGGAAGTGGACTCATTGAACTGTTAAATGGAGAGTCGACAGTCTCCTCTGGTCATCTAGTGACCATGAAGAACACTGGGACTCTCTAAAAACAATGTTGAAGGAAATCTTTATTGTCATTTTAGACAAGAAGAAGAGGCAGAACAAGGGATGGATCTCTAAGGACATCTGGAGGATAACAGGGGAGAGAAGAATGGTAAAGCAGGAGATAAATCAGTTCAGAGATGAGCAACAAAAGGAGAAACTGAACACATGCTACGGCGCACTGAACAAAGGAGTGAAGAGCTGTCACGAAAGACAAAAGATGCTCCTGTGACACACTAGCTACTGAAGTAGAACAGACTGCGGGTAAGACAGATCTCGAAACACTATGTCATATGACTTGGTCGCTATCCGTGAAGAGATTAACGCGGATGAAGGCAGTATAAGATAGTGGAGAAAACTTCACTCCAACTACCAAAGAGATGAAAGAGAGGAAACGCTGAAATGGTCACTTCAAACGACTTTTGAATTGACCACCACCTAAAACTCGTCCAGAAATACCCCACAATCAAAAACAGCCCTTCCACAAAAGCAGAAGCCTTGAAGGCCATAAAGTTACTAATAACCTAGAAAGCAACAGGACCAGATTAAATTCCCTCAAAGCACTGAAAACAGACATAGAGACCTGAGCAGATATTCTTACGCTACTATTACAAGAGTTGTGTAAGATAGGGAAGGGAGGTAGCTGCAGATTTGATGAAGGTTTACTCTGCAAAATTGTCAAAGCAGACCGACTTAAGCAAGGACTAGTGTACAATCATGCTCTTGTCCGAAATAACAAGACTATGAAGCTCTGGATGGAAGACTTTGCCTAGAACAGGAAAAATAAATCATGTGAGGATTAAAATGCGACACTACGCATCAGAACTGAACAGAGCATAGAATGACAATCAAACCTCTACATCAACTTCATCGACTTCGGAAAGGCCTTCGACAGTGTCGAAAGGGAAGTAATTTGGGAATTGCTTCAACACTATGGAGTACAGCCTGATGGCGATATTGCATACCTAGTAATTCACAATGGACAACTCAGTGAAACCTTTGAAGTAAGGATAGGAATTAAAACAATGCTGCCTACTGTCATCAGTGATCTCCCTAACTGTTGTGGACTAGATCATATGACAGAGCATGAGGACTGAGAATAAATTACAACAAGACTTTAGAAGGCCTAGTATTCTTGGGTTGTTTATGTCTCATGTTGGACAAACTTGAAGATTTACAAATGAAAATCAGCATGTTGTCAGAAAAGGCTGCGGAGACAGCACTTCAAATGAGTATGCAGAAGACATGTAATGAAGACACAACAGGTCCCAGTCATCATGAATGGTATAAATCTAAAGGAAGCCATCTCTTTCGCATGCCTAGGCAACACCGTTTCAAATACAAGCGACACTTATTAAGACGTCAAAGCCAGTCATGGTCGGATGGGGGAAGAAAGACAGGCTTTCATCACTTTGAAATCGGTGTGAAGATGTGCAGTACGTAGCACACAGAACAAGATCCGAATGGTTACCACAAATGTCAATTCCGTGCTTCTATATTACTCAGAGATCTGACGCATCAGCAAAAGTATTTCCAACTGGCTACTGAAGACTATTATCAATGACTGCGTTTGCTCGAAACTAAGGACAAGATGGCAGGCTAGAAAAGAGGAGCAACATGGAAATCCGGCAGCGCGGCGAACTAGCCAAGAACCTACTCTCCAACAAATATTCAAAAGGAAATGGAGGTGAATTGAGCATATAGTGAGGAGACCATGAGGTGACATCACGTGCCAGGCATTCAAGTAGAACCCGAACAGTAAGCAACAATTTATGCGTCCGAGGGTGGCATGAGGATCATATGAAAAAGGAATGAAAGTCTGTGATCAGTCGTGGAGTCAGCTGAAAGTGATGGCAGGGAACGGAGTGGAGTCGAAACGTGCCACCGACACCCCATGTTCTACTTGGAACGCAAGGAACGAATAATGATAATAGGAAAAGTCAAGCTCATCTATTAAAAGTATGTATTATCCGTATGAATAATAGCTGATTTCATTGAATCTTGTTGGGAGATAGGGTTCAGTGAGAAATGATGGAATGAACACGTGGTCACTCAACTATTGGCATATTTACGTCTCTCCTTCTTTATTATTTTTTAAGCTTTGTTCCTTTGAGTTCTCAGTGGAAAGTAGGGCTTCAAGCTGGAGATTTGAAGTTTCAGCATCAGTGGTGCTATTCTTTTTTGCGGGGTGGAGTTTCCAGCCTCACTCTCAACCTATTTACTACTGGCTATGAGAGGCTTTGGAGTGCGTCAGCCGCAGATCGAACCCCGAACTATGTTCGTGGTTGGCGAGCATTCTATCACCGAACTACCAACGCACGTCTCTCCTCAACA